CAAAGTAATGAGAGATCAGCTCTTCACTCCGTCTCTAGGTGAAATTGGCGAAATGTGGGGTGCGGTAATCGCACTGAGGGATACCTCCTTACATAAATTTTGGTAAAATCTGGAGGGGTCATCCCAGTAAAGGAGAGGCGTGTGATGTGGAGCGCTCAACGTGTTCATAACCAACTATAGCATATTCTCTCAGTGGTAAGGTTTGGGAGTATGGTGAGCTTTGAAGAAAGCGAAAACCCTCAGGTTCGTGAGCAAACTTCGTTTTCTCCAGGGATTTCCTCCCCCTTCCTAGGATCAGTCCCAGCGGCTCACTAGGTAAATATTACTTTTCATAGATGTTTATGAGCGCAATGCGGCTCGAGCGGAGGTGGTGGCATCGTGTCAAGATATGGAAAAGCTCAGTTTCACGACTGAGCCTTGAAGAGGGGATAGACTCCGGCTTGCAGAACGTACTCTCTAGAGTTCATCCCTGCAGCCCCTAGGGCTTAGTCCAGAGGCCTCCGAGAGGCCCCTGCCCTCCCCCTCTCCCACCGCGCCACACTGCGTTCGTTTATGTCATAAAACAAGAACACATATACGTTATGTAAAAAAAAACAGAAGAATCAACGTAGGTATAATATTGGGTGCCCGACAGGAGGCCCGTCGCGCGGCAAGAAGGCAGAGTCAGCGGACGAGTCGCAGCGCGTGATGTGCGATGTAGGACGTACAATGGTACATTCTATTTAACTTGACGCGAAATCCTACAGTACGCGCTGCGACTCGTCCGCTGACTCTGCCTTCTTGCCGCGCGACGGGCCTCCTGTCGGGTACCCTGTGAGGCCGGACGCATAGTCGGTCGGACGACAGCAACGACTGCAAGTGTCGCACAGCATTGGGTGCGTATCGATCTGCGACACCTGCGACACTTACGACCGCTGCTGTCGGACGACAGCAACGACCGCAAGTGTCGCATAAACCGCGGTTGCAAATGGAAGGCGACGCGGTAAGTGTCGTAGATCAATACGCAGCTACTATTCTACTATTCCACACTACAGTGGGACTTTTCGAAATACGATCACGCGCAGTCACGTGTTGTCTGGGTTAGCATTGGGTGACCGCGTCGCCTTCCATTTGCGCAACCGCGGTTTATGCGACACTTGCGGTCGTTGCTGTCGTCCGACCGACTATGCGTCTTCCTAAATTGAGGGCAGCCAACTTACCCCACACGACTCCTTCAACGTCATTAGCGCAGACGTTCCATCCTGCAATAACCTAAAGTCTAAGATAAAAGCTTGCCGTTGATCCCTGCACCCTCTTTGGATGCGCATTCGGCTATTTCTATTTTTAATACATTCGCAGTGGTTTGAATGCGATGTGGCCTATACAATGACTTGCGGGGGCCAGCCGATGTACAAGTCAGTGTTTTTATCCTCCCAGACAAGTCTGGTACCAATTAACCGACCCCGGAGGGATGGAAGGCTTGGTTGGCCCGGGCGACTCACGACCCAGGCATTGCACTGCAATGCCCCCTCTTATTGAATAGATCCTCGTGGGTTTTTAGGAGCACTAATGCGAAAATTCAGCGCACTCTGACTTGAGACTCGTTGGTATCGGGAGACGAAGCGCTTCACCGCTGAGTGGAGTGTATTGAATAGGCGCCCGGAAACTCAAGGGTGGAGGTCGAGGCGAGAATTCAGGAGGGGAATAACTGTGCAGTTGACTTTTCCCTATTGTGCTTATTTGTCCAAAACTAGTTCAGAGATGCATTTCGATTCGTCACAGTTAGCAGGTCGTTACTACCTAAACGTCATAATAGGCTAAGGGAGTCGATAATGAGCCAAGTAAATGCCAGTGACCTGACACCGAATATCAGAGTTGTGAGCAAGGTGGTGAGGATTTTGGGGAGGGACGACCACACGGAATGGGCGACTCAACTGCCACCCCGAAGTCTTGCTCCCACTTATATTTAGAATCCACATCCCCTTACTCACAATCTTCTTTCTCACGTCACTCCAATAACTGCTGAAAGTAAAAACAAAGCAAGCAGACAGTGTAGAAACGAGTATAAAAGCGTATCGCAGCGCCCAGGCCGTAAACGGTGCACCGAACGTCCTCATATCGTTACGGCTCAAATCCGAGCTGGTCCTCGTAGTGTGTTTCGCCACGCTATACCATTGTTAGTGTGCGTGAAAAATTGATTATGACCGGCCATCGTTGCGGAGCTGTCCGCTCAATGTGGCTCTGGATCGGGGGGGAGGGGGGCGAATGGTGGTGTGGGTACTTAGGACAGAACGCGACTTTTTCGCTCTTCGCAACGCGACATCGCGCGGCAGGCTGGCGCACCCGCAGCGAAAACAACTACGGTATATGGAGAACGCGCGATTGGAGCACGATATTTGTGTCGGCTTTGATTGCGACAAGGAGTTTGAAGCTTAATAGCCATGGATTTGATAATGAACGAGGAAATGGTAACCAGAAGTGGACCGCTAACTAGCAGTGAAGAGGGAGGTAGGTTATTTTTGCAGAGATGGATGGTAGAGCTTCTGGAGAACCTGGAACAGAGGAATGTGCTGTTTAACGCATACTTTCTGCTTTCCTAAGCTTTCTCACCTACAGCGCCTACGACTAAGCTTAGGGGAGGGGAGTGAAACTCCGGAGTGGGTAAACCACGCACCGTGTGGCAAAAGTTGGAGTGTGTCAGACCACAGGGGAATGGCCTACCCACTTTGGAGCCTTAGACCGACGTCATAGTCGGCGACGGACCAAGCGATGGAGCGATCGCGATCGCTCCATCGCTTGTCCGTCGCTTGCCAATCGCTCTCGGTCGAGCGATTGGCAAGCGATTGCGCAATCGCTTGCAAAGTGCACAAGCGACGGGCAATGGCTCTGCTCGATCGATACCGCAGCCGACTGCATTGACTGGGGGCGGGGCCAATCGCCCGTCGCTTGTGCACATTGCGCAATCGCTTGCCAATCGCTCGACCGAGAGCGATTGGCAAGCGACGGACAAGCGATGGAGCGATCGCGATCGCTCCATCGCTTGGTCCGTCGCCGACTATGACGTCGGTCTTAACACTACTCAAAGGCTTAGTCCTATTGCGATCTAATTAGTGCGAGGGCGCAGACGAGCAGGAAGCAGGCGCCGAATAGCGCTAACAACAAATCAGGACCCCGAATAACCCCTATACAGAAGTTTACAGCGAATTTAGTGGGAATCAGTTGTGGCGCCACCCGGCCCCAAATGGCGCCAGCGTCAAAATGAGTATCATATCCGTGATGAGGACAGAAGCGTTCCGTAAAAGATGTTATACCCTTATGCAGATGTCTATACAACAATATGAACCCACAAAATGCAAGCACAAGCGACACTATTAAACCCTCGTTCACCGATAATTCGTAAAACACCATTTGTGTGGCATCGCCCGGAATCGTGTAAGTCACAAAACGTTTTCAATAATGAGACAGAATTAGTGATTCACCGCATTTATCAATACAATGGGTGTGAGCGCGGGCAAGTAAGGAATCAGAAACTTACAAATTCACGCATGCAAAAAAGCTGCTCCAATCGCGCGTTCTTCCATACCGTAGTTGTTTTCGCTGCGGGTGCGCCAGCCTGCCGCGCGATGTCGCGTTGCGAAGAGCGAAAAAGTCGCGTTCTGTCCTAAGTACCCACACCCGGGCGAATTTGTGGGACCTCGCACATCCCAGCTTTTTACTCACGTTACGAGACACTTTCCTCATTCCCACCTCTTGAATTGGACTTCACTTCCCTGACTCGTGGATTTCTCACTTTGCACTGAAGGAAGTGAACACTCTGCTCGCTGCAGACGGCGACTGCCCCCCCCCATCAGCCACATTGCAACTCTGTTCTTACCTATGCGTCTCCCATGTTTTATTTCCTTGAATAACAGTCGAACTTAAACGGGTCCTCAAAATTCACGTAACAACGATGAGGAAATACCATCACGCCTTTAGTCTCGGTCGTTTACTGACCAAATGCGGTTGACAAGTGCCCTGTATTGGCCAGAACGCACAGGGTATTATTTCTGTGACTACTGGAGAAATCAAATCACGTCTGGTCGGCTGACGCAGGGTTGGGTCGTGCTGTTGTCTTGAATTCCTAGTGAGTCTATTAATTCAATGTTCTTTTGTAGGACAGAAATGTCGCCACTCCAAGAGATTACTACATGGCCCTGGCTAACACTGTTAGGGATCATCTCGTCAGCAGATGGATACGTACTCAGCAATACTACTACGAGAAGGATCCAAAGGTACTCTTTCTTCCTAATTTTTCTATGCTAACTTTATATCGTGCCAAAATTTTAGAGAGTATATTACCTTTCGCTCGAGTTCTACATGGGCCGCACCCTATCGAACACCATGATGAACCTCGGTCTCCAAGCTACTGTCGACGAAGCGCTTTATCAGGTAAGCGTCTCGGCCACCAACATGCTTATCGGTGTTTTTGTTGGTGACATTAAATGTTCTTCCAGCTTGGACTGGAAATTGAAGAGCTACAAGAGATAGAAGAAGACGCTGGACTTGGAAATGGAGGTCTCGGGCGTTTAGCGGCCTGTTTTCTTGATTCCATGGCCACCCTGGGCATACCAGCCTATGGGTATGGACTTCGATACGAATACGGAATCTTCAAGCAATTGATCAAGGACGGATGGCAGGTGCGAACACATGAAGAAATATTTTTAACTTATTGGGTTCAAGCTCCGAAAAGCTTCGTTGAATGCGAAGTTTTTTTTGAAAATGGTCTTTCGTGGGCGAATTCAAAAGTTAACAGCTAGCAATGCATGAATTTCAGTGTTTCATATAAAGTGAAGGAACACGACAAAGGTGTTATGTTTTTAAGAAATATTTGAGGCTTCTTTTTCGATACAAGTTCAAATAGTTGAGCTTTCCAGCCACTCAAAACATAAATGAGAAATTTTGAAAGAATCCCAATGCCAGCTGGTTGTGCGGGGCCCACTAAATTTCGCGCTGATAGGGCTGAAGTATTACAGGTGGAAGAACCTGACGACTGGCTCCGCGTTCAGGTACCATGGGCAGAAGCACGGCCCGAGTACATGTTGCCTGTCAACTTCTACGGAAAAGTGGTCAAGGATGAAAAAGGCAGAGTAAGTGCTACTACAATATGCTATGTGAAATATTTGAAAACTACTACGATCGCGTTTCGCGGCACGGAGGTGGTGCCAAAATGGTTACATGCACGCGGTTGTCTCGGATTAGTACGCCGTTCAGCAACCGCGGCCATGGTCTCATCATTTAGTGTTAGCTTTATCAGGGCTAGATTTTTTGTGGAGGGGCGATCAAAACGCTGGCTCAACGTCAAGCTGATCCCGCAATATATGTAAAAGGGTTAAATCCACTTGAAATGCCACCACGATCTGCTGATGGTTTGGGATTGCGTGGAGCATCCAAATGGGACTGTTCAATGCTGAGTGCTTTATTCTTTTTCAATATATCCCCGTGGCCGTTTGGCTTTTCCCTTACGTGAAACATTCTTATAACTGCAGATGCACGGGAATAGTTTTCCATGTTATTTTTTTTTGGATTTTTTCTGTCATAGCCCTCTCTGAAAGGCACCCAATTTGGGAAGTGAATAAATTTGAAACCGGTAACTCATTCTTCCCAAAACAAAGTCCACAGTGTTCAGGGCAGTGAGGGTAGGATACTCAGGCATAGTGTTTGCGAATGCATAATGAACACCCGTTCCTGGGTACCGCTCAATAATTGTTCGTCAACTTTTGCGCCTGGTGGTAGTGCCCAAGGTATACTTTTATTTCTTATTCGCTATATAGTTAATGGGTTTCTTCCCAAAGTAAACAGAACATATTGTGTTGTAATACACTGCGTCCCATAATTATAACTCCACCCAAGAATTTCCCAAAATCTCACAAATTTAGATGTTTTAGAAAAAGACTCCAATGTGGCAGTGTAAATACAGGTACGAAATCGCCTGTAAACATCAACTTCCAACTTGAGATCCCAGGAATTTTTTCTAATAATTTTTGTTCAAAAGGCCACTTAGCCGACGTCCCAAAATTATAACTCCACCTCATGTTTTTCTATTATTTTTCACTTCCGTTTCGCCAAACTTTTTTATGTGCTAACATCCTACTTCTCAAGGGGACAGTATGATAGAAAATGCTGTCTGACTTTTTAAAAGGTCAGGTCGTCGCAAAAACTACTAATTAGGCAATCGCACAAGATTTTGACCAAATTTACGAGGAGCTCGAGAATTTTTTCAGGGATTTTACATGATATGGAGTTGAGAAGAGCTCCAAAGGATCTCCCCTTGCTTTTCGGTAGAAACAAAGGCCGTGTCACAGAAGAAACATCCTTTTTTATGAAGCCGTGCTCTGCCATCAAATCTTCTTCGGAACTTAATGGCTCAACGGAACAATGTTTTTTGCTTGCGAATAAAGTCCAAGTTGATTCTCGAGTGGAAAACGTGGAAGGCATCATCTGTGGCAGGAAACCATGGCGAAAATTGAGCCCATTTTCACAGAAAGATGCAACGGAGCCGACTGGAGTAAGGTTCGCTTTTGCTCGATATGTTTTAGCATTTGTTTGTTTTTCTTTTCGTGCTTTTCTCATCCTTAGTAGCTTTTCTCTTCGCGAAGCACTACCAGGAGAAAGAAAATGCCGAAGAGAAAGACAGACAATCAGTAATGAATCGCAAGTAAGAGCGAACCTTACTACAGTCGGCTCGGATGCACCTTTCCGGAAAACTCAGCAAGAATTCCGCCATGGTTTCTTACCACAGATGATGCCTTCCACGTTTTCCACTCGAGAATCAACTTGGGACTTATTCGCAAGCAAAAAACATTGTTCCGTTGAGCCATTAAGTTCCGAAGAAGATTTGATGGCAGAGCACGGCTTCATAAAAAAGGATGTTTCTTCTGTGACACGGCCTTTGTTTCTACCGAAAAGCAAGGAGAGATCCTTTGGAGCTCTTCTCAACTCCATATCATGTAAAATCCCTGAAAAAATTCTCGAGCTCCTCGTGAATTTGGTCAAAATCTTGTGCGATTGCCTAATTAGTAGTTTTTGCGACGACCTGACCTTTTAAAAAGTCAGACAGCATTTTCTATCATACTGTCCCCTTGAGAAGTAGGATGTTAGCACATTAAAAAAGTTTGGCGAAACGGAAGTGAAAAATAATAGAAAAACATGAGGTGGAGTTATAATTTTGGGACGTTGGCCAAGTGGCCTTTTGAACAAAAATTATTAGAAAAAATTCCTGGGATCTCAAGTTGGAAGTTGATGTTTACAGGCGATTTCGTACCTGTATTTACACACTGCCACATTGGAGTCTTTTTCTAAAACATCTAAATTTGTGAGATTTTGGGAAATTCTTGGGTGGAGTTATAATTATGGGACGCAGTGTATTCCCTGCTTGTTCATGAAGTTAGAGAATTTGCTTCTTGGTCATAAGTCGTCAGAATGTTTTTACTAATAAGACCTTATTTCAGGCTGAAAACCATTTCCATTTAAAGTTCTTTAATGACGGCGACTACGTGCAAGCCGTAATGGATCGCAATCTCTCGGAAAACATTACCCGTGTCCTCTATCCTAACGACAACGTGCGTCTTCTTTCTTATTGTTTTCCTAACATCAAATAATTTTCCGTCCGCTTTCCGTTACTTTTTACTTTATGTCAGGTTTTTATTGGAAAACACTTCGGCTGATAACAACATAGCTTTTTTAGGTTTGCTGCGACGTTCTTAAAGAGTATCATACGACGGTTCAAATCGAGTAATATATAGGATGTCGGAGATGCACTCACGAAGTTATACGATTTGATGCATTCCCTGATAAGGTAAGGTTTCTCTCTTCAAATTTATTCATCAACGCTGACTTTCGGATCTTACTGTTCAGGTTGCAATCCAACTTAACGACACACATCCTTCCATTGGAATCCTGAATTGATACGTCTACTTGTAGACGTTGAAGGTGAAGTACTTGAATGGTCGACTGTATTTTTATCAATTATCACCTATGTCTGAGTCTAATTTGGTCTCTAAGGGTGGTGTGGTCGTGGGCCAAGGCACTGGGACATTTGCGTTAAAACGTTTGCCTATACTAACCACACCTTGCTGCCCGAGGCCTTGGAAAAGATGGCCTGTGTCCATGCTTCAGAATATGCTTCCTCGTCATCTCGAAATCATTTATGAAATCAATCAGAAGTTCATGGAGGTAAGTCAAAATTACTTCTTTGTTATCATTTTATATACTGGCGCTTATCGCAGGCTACGGGGGGGGGCGGGGTGGGTATTGTGTGGCAATTCGTTTGAAATCGCGTAATGCATCTCCTTTTCGTTGAAAACTGATCAAGCCCTAGCCCTATGCAGGTGGGGAGAGATTTGCAGGATGCGTGAACAATTCTTATTTCCCCGAAATTCCTGCCCCTCCTTGGCTCTGTCCTAAAGGGGGCCCCGTATATTGCGATAGCGCCTATATATTGAGCTCTTTTTTTCCAACAGCAAATCTATTGCGATTGGTACACATGCAGTTTCTGTCCTTTCTACAACTATCTGCTTTTTCAGGCAGTAGCTGCTCGTTATCCTGGCGATTTTAGCAGAATGCGTCGTATGTCCATTGTTGAAGAGGCTGATCAATTTGGAGAGGTGAGGTTCAAGGTTTACAAATATTTCGCATTTGGCGTTTTTTACTGATTTTCTCTACAGAAGCGGATCAATATGGCTCACTTGTGCATTGTTAGCTCGCATGCTACCAACGGAGTCGCTGCTTTGCATTCTGATTTGCTGAAGAGTACCACGTAAGTATCCACTTGTGCTTCACTTCGATGTAAAAACACAGTTGCTATTGAAAAGTAGTAGAGCAAGAGTGTCGGTTTAGGTTCAAGGACTTCCACGAGATGTTCCCAGGCAGGTTCCAGAACAAAACAAATGGTATCACTCCCGCCGTTGGCTTCTTTCTCTCGAATCCCTCGCGTAGGCTTGACGTTATTGCTGAGGTGAATAATGTTGTCTAGGTTGCGAATTAGGACGTGAGGCTCAACCGAGTTCTCAATCCTGCAACGATCAATCGCATGGTCGCAATTGCCAGTGCCTTTCCGCTTGATGCGTGCGGCAGTTTACTTCTTACCTGTACATAGAGTAGAATTTGACTAATATTTCACGTGAGGTATGTAAGCGAGGCGATGAGTTTGAGATGGAAGGGAGCTCTCCATTATTCGAACCCTCTATCTCCCTAATGTTCTATTAACTTTCGGAAGATAACTATAGTAATTCTCTATGTGCTACATTTGCCCGAATGGCTGTCTGAGACCTTTGGAGCGGACCGTGTGCCTCCCCTGTACATATTGTCACTACTGCATTTTAATTTGTGCCATACGTTTGAGTCTGGCTTGTTTCTGCAGAGTAAGAATCAATTTTCCAGAAAATCGGGGGAGAACTGGATTACAAATCTGGATGAGCTGCAAAAGCTGAAGGAATTTGTGAATAACCCAGGATTTTTAGATCAAATTCGTCGCGTGAAACAGGTCAGTGTTTATTAGTTGTTCTCTTCAGAAGGTCTGAGGAGTTATTCATTAAGTCTTTTGCAGGAGAACAAGATGCGTGTTGCCCAGTATCTCGAGGAAGAATATAACGTAGAAGTGAATCCAGCAAGTATATTTGATATTCATGTAAGTTTTTTATTATATTTCATTTTAGAGCACCGTTCATTTTACGTCTCTGTCTACCTACAAGCTGTTTGTCATGGGCGACAGCTAAAGGAGATGATCATTCCAATCGTCAGCTAATGGGAAACGGTACACATATATCGCGTGCAGCGCACCTGTGACAAACGGCGGGCGATTTCTGTATGGGCCTTGGCTTGTGCATCTATAAGTTGAGGTTGGGGCTGAATGACTGATATGACCGTGATGCTTAATAAGCGTTATGTTAAAGTCTCTGTAATGTTTAAACGTCACAATACGAAGGCCACATCATCGCTCTACAACATTAAAGTCTCAACATAACTATGACCATTTGACACATCATCGAAAATTCATACTCTACTTCAAAATAGTCCTAGGGAGCAGAAAAATGGGATGAAAGAGTAATATTGTAGAAAGCACATCTGAAGAGGGTGGAGGTCCATCCACAACGGGGGTGGGCCTCCGTCCTATGACAAAGCCCACCCCCTTAGCGGAGTTTGTCACAGGACCCTTCGGTTTCGTTTCAGCGTTCGGATACCGAAAAAATGGGTATAGATTAGCGGAAAAGGGGAATTCATATGCCGCAGATGTGTGGACGTATCAGAAGGGGAGAACTTCGCCAAAGAGCCTTTTAATTCGCTTGACGGTCCAGGGACCACAAAAAATGGATACCGGCTGGCAAAAGAGAGTAGTGCCTACGGTGAACGGTTTACGGTGGGCAGGACATACATCGGAGTCAAGCCAAGTCAGCAGGTGAAGAGCGCAGTTCTCATTTTGTTGCACTAGCTCTCTATCGTATACCTCCGCACGCTGGTATAGAATGGAGGGCCAGTCCTTCAAGATGAAATCTGCACCGAGAACTGCAGTGGTCCGCAAATTGACGCAATGAGAACCACCACATTACTGTGCTCATACTTACTCGGTCTCGCATGGGTGTTAGGGATATTATCACCCATTTCCACTACTGCATATACATTTGAACATGAGAGTACAAGAAGGCAGCAGTGTACATTTGAATAGCATCTTTTCATACCATTCTCGGTAAATTCAAGATGATCTGAAACATGGTAAACCGTTAGACATTCGAAGGATTCAATGTGACCAGGACTAAGTTTGCAAAAGTACCATGCTACCGTTCCCTACAGTTGTGTGTTAGCCTCTAAAGTGAAGACCTGTTTCACTCACGTGAGCGCGAATTATCTCTTGAAAAACAGTTACCGTTTCGCGTCCCCTTCCTACCAAGTGAATCGAAGCGCTAACCTTATACAAACATGTGAATACACCATTATTGATGCAATAATTTATCAAACCTACCTATGTCTCTGGAAGGATGTGTGTTTGTTCGGGATCCTTTCATCTGCAATCTCCGTTATACAATGTGTAATGCCAGCTAGAGACAGCCAGCTTTAGATTTTAGAGGCTCGCGAATTTCGGCTCTATTTTCGATTACATTTCAGGTGAAACGTATTCACGAGTACAAGCGGCAGTTGCTGAATATTCTTCACGTTATTGCGTTGTACAATAGAATCAAAGCTGATCCAAACGTCGATATAGTGCCCAGAACGTTCCTATATGGCGGAAAGGTTTGTGTGTCGTATTTGGCAGAATTGTGGATCTATCAAATGAAAGTCAACTTTATATTGTTTAGGCTGCACCTGGCTACCATATGGCAAAACAAATCATCCGCTTGATTACTAGTGTAGGAGAACTCGTGAATAATGACCCCATCGTTGGGGATAAAATCAAGGCAAGTTGTGATTGTTAGTGTTGTTATCATGAGCAACAACTGGTTTCAAATCATGAAACCTGAGACTTACTTTCTGTGCAGAATCTAGGCATAGCTTTCGTCGATTACCCCTTTTAAGCATTAGTCAAAGATTGTGTAGAATATCTTCTTGCCCAAATCAGGATGAATAACAGTCAAGGCTCCGGATCGCTTTTGCCCTGGTGAAGATATGATGAGAAAGTCGTATTTTGGATTTTCTGATTTGTTTGTCGTAAATGGGCATGGCAAGGGTGAGATAGGTGGGAAGGCTTGGCTTAGAAACGAGAATTTCTATTTCCTTGTAATTCGTGTTTGTGTGCGTGGGCGGGGGGGGGGGAGGGTTGAATGCGGCATGTAGTCATAGGAGCAGCGACACCATTAATACCAAAGGAGACTAATCAAAGAATTGCTTTAGTATCTTAGATAGGACCGGTTGTGCTGACGTGACC